TATAGCTATTCGGATCAAATATTTAGTAGGGTGATTATGATAAATCAAAAAAGGTTGACATTATATTTATGTTCTTCCTGCTCAGTCGAACGGCAAACAGTGTTGGACTGATCATGATAAATCGGTTTTCGCCCATATTATATATAAACAGGATATTTTGTGGTGATATGAGGAAGGTAATAATTTTTTTTCTGAATTCCAAAGCCGTCAACAAACATGGACATGTCGTGTTTCATGATTTTCGCAAGCAAATAATTAATTCCCAACGTAAACAAACATTATAGTTTGCTACTATTTACAGCCTTCTCGATAAAAATGCTAAAAAACACAAAGGCCAACTACAGCTTAGTTCCATTTATTACCGGCCAAAGTTATGTTAGGGAAGATTAACCGAACAGACTTTTCTCTTAAGCCATGTGGTGTTGTTTATTAAAAGAGAAACGCCAACTGACATGGCTGGGTTTCCACCCATTTTCGCTGGGGTATAAATTCATACATTGAAGTAAGTAGGAGTACTAATATAAAACATCATCATGTGGTCTAACATGAAAGAATACACCGAGCTAAAAATGACACGGTATCCATTTTACAACAAAAAAAGAATAATTGTAGAGGAGGTTTAATAATACCTCACCGAGATAGAACAATGTTGACAATTTCAGCTGCTACGAAAGTTCTTCCTATTGGTTATCGCAGAAATATATAAGCAGCAAAAACAAAAACTTTTTTTTCATTTTGGAAAAAGAAGTGCTTATTTTCAAACAATCTTCCTTTAGTATAAAAACAATTCTGAAGTGAGAGCCATTTCACATTTACAAACCCTGCTGTGAGAGAAGGTGTAAGAAATGAAAAATTCTCCTTTCTTTTGTTTTATCGCAACGATTCTTCTTGGATCTAGACCTTCTAGCTTAACGCTGTTCAGCTCTTTCACACTCGAAAATAGACTCTTTCTAGGCAAGACATTTGGGTCGATTTTCACTTCCGACTGGCTTCAGTGTTTACGATCTTGCGCTGAAAACACAAGATGTTTATCATACAGCTTTGATAAGCAGGCCTTAGGTGAAAACTGTTTTTTACATGAATGTGGTTTTCTCGACGAATGCGCCGCTCTCGATACGCTCATCTTTGCCAGGGAGTCCGTTTTTCATCAGTTGCAGCCTGTAACGGTTTGTATTCATTTTAAAAATAAGGTAGAATCATCATTATATAATTATTCATTTTAGGATGATAAAAGTTGTCAAGTTCTACTCGACTATCTGCCTTTGTCACTATCAGTAAATTCTCTCTATCTCCCTTAAAAGATAATTTTATGCTAGGGTACAGGTTACGATATCTAGGTTGATTATGCTTATTTATTTTTGTTTATTTTAATTACCATTTTATGTAATTTAATTATTGATGTTCATTATTTTCCGACAGAATCAATCACAGCACAGGAATTGCCGTTGGGCAGATTATAGTAAGTATTAAGGAAAATTAAGACATTTCCGGTAAGACGAGTCTTGGTGTCTGTGTATATTAGATGGCAAACCAAGCCTTTAAATTGTAAAACTTATGAGTTGAAAATATTTACTCTACTCAACTGACTCAACCCTATGACAATATGTCGCTGTGACAAGGCCTAATGGCCTAGCGTCCATCGCATACTTGAAACGACGAGTTTGTCGGTGAACGTAGGATGAAATAAACTATATTAATGGGGAGTTGGAGAGTTATAGCCAAACTTCTATTGAAGATGAAGCAGATGTAAAACTAATATAGTCAGGAGTATAGTTTTAGATCAATTTTAGTATACTTGGTGCGAATTTTATTTTTATTTTTTGTTTTTTGGTGTGGTAAAGAATGATGATAAATTTCAAATGAGAAGGAAATCACAATATATACTTTCTTTGATCAATGATGAATCAAAATTGATGTAGAACTCGACATTAGAATTGGCCTTAATAGAATAGAAAATTATTTAAAATTTGTACCAATACCTTTTTATTTTACCCTACCAAGAGCCCTGTGTAATATTTTGCATAAAAGGAATGGTAGCTAAGAATAAGTCTAATCAGTGATCATCATCATCATTGTCATTATCATTGACAATGATCATTATCATGCTAACTTATGAAAGTGACAAGTATAACGTAACTTTAAATGATGCAATATCGTTAGTTTTTGCTTTTGTATTGTTATCATTATCAGTATTATTAGTTTTATCTATGTCAGAGCAACCTATTCCCGAAGCTGCATTTGAAATACAAGGTACCGATGTATGTAAAAGAAGTTGGGTTGATTATTTGGATGGATTCAGCCAAGGTAAGAAAAAAACCATGGTACCCTTTTTCAGTTGTACATGTTAATGACTTTAAGTTTTTTTTTCTTCTTTACAAACCTCTTCAAGGCCCTTCCTACATTCCGTTCTACGTATATGGGTCATGTAGCAGCTGCTCGGAAGAGAAGTCACCAATGGTGTGTTTTCCTAACCCTAAACAATACTTGGGTCACGTACATTGCCTAATTCCAAGGACTAAACATTTTTGCCACGCAGTCTATATTTATCGGATGGTCACGTGATGACTTTTGTAGGTCTTGATCAAAATGCCTGAACTTACTGTCCCATGCAAAGGAATCTAGAATCCCGAATCCGGGAAATTTTTGCTCTTGGAATCCGGAATCTTAGAAAGTTTTTCCTGTGGAATCCGGATTTCGGGTCCAGGAATCCTGAATCCCACTGACAATTGGAATCCAGAATCCAAGTTCCACTGACAAAGACTTTAATCCAGTACCTTGAATCCGGAATCCACTGAGTGGAATCCAGAATCCAAGACTGTCCTGTGATTTCCTTACACTGGGCGAGACTTAGACTAGGCTTATGACCGTCAGTTGCAACTGACCAACGAATCCTTTTTAGCAAACATGATCACAGGATTTACTTGTACGAGGGAGTGTGGTAACTAACCTTCATATGTTGAGAGGAGACTGGAAAAAGGGCAATAATACGCGCGAGGAAAGTCGGGAAGACAGATGACCTTGTATCCCTTTTAAAGAAACTGCATGATTGGGGATTCAGATAGTGATTTACAAAAGCCACATTTTGCAAACTGTATATTTGAAAGACGATATTAGGCGATAAATGAGTCATAATGACTGGTAGAGAAGCATTCAAGGATTTTTTAAAGCTATTTACCTTATTTATTGTAAATTAAGTGAACCGAAAGTTGCATTTTGTCGTTTCTTTTACTTTTGAATTATATCACATTTTTTGCTGTAGGCTTTCCTTTGCTTTTTGCTTTGTGCAATTGCATTATGGCTCTCATTCTCTGAAACGTTTTTTTTTTTGTAAGTTTTGCATATAGTTGGCATAAAATGGAAACATTCAGACGTATAAAAAAAGACGGTAAATTTCGTGCTTAATATTTAGCTTTAGTATGAGCCAGGAGGAGTTGTATTAGCAAATACGATAGCACACAATAAAATAAAAATAACTACTCTGTATACAAATGTATGTGTCTTTTGAAAGGTTTTTTTTTTCAATATTGCGCTTTTGTTAGCGGCGTCTGACCACAGAGTTTTTGTTTTTTGGCTAATTAATTGCTTCAGTAAAAATATGGAATTATAGCTATTCGGATCAAATATTTAGTAGGGTGATTATGATAAATCAAAAAAGGTTGACATTATATTTATGTTCTTCCTGCTCAGTCGAACGGCAAACAGTGTTGGACTGATCATGATAAATCGGTTTTCGCCCATATTATATATAAACAGGATATTTTGTGGTGATATGAGGAAGGTAATAATTTTTTTTCTGAATTCCAAAGCCGTCAACAAACATGGACATGTCGTGTTTCATGATTTTCGCAAGCAAATAATTAATTCCCAACGTAAACAAACATTATAGTTTGCTACTATTTACAGCCTTCTCGATAAAAATGCTAAAAAACACAAAGGCCAACTACAGCTTAGTTCCATTTATTACCGGCCAAAGTTATGTTAGGGAAGATTAACCGAACAGACTTTTCTCTTAAGCCATGTGGTGTTGTTTATTAAAAGAGAAACGCCAACTGACATGGCTGGGTTTCCACCCATTTTCGCTGGGGTATAAATTCATACATTGAAGTAAGTAGGAGTACTAATATAAAACATCATCATGTGGTCTAACATGAAAGAATACACCGAGCTAAAAATGACACGGTATCCATTTTACAACAAAAAAAGAATAATTGTAGAGGAGGTTTAATAATACCTCACCGAGATAGAACAATGTTGACAATTTCAGCTGCTACGAAAGTTCTTCCTATTGGTTATCGCAGAAATATATAAGCAGCAAAAACAAAAACTTTTTTTTCATTTTGGAAAAAGAAGTGCTTATTTTCAAACAATCTTCCTTTAGTATAAAAACAATTCTGAAGTGAGAGCCATTTCACATTTACAAACCCTGCTGTGAGAGAAGGTGTAAGAAATGAAAAATTCTCCTTTCTTTTGTTTTATCGCAACGATTCTTCTTGGATCTAGACCTTCTAGCTTAACGCTGTTCAGCTCTTTCACACTCGAAAATAGACTCTTTCTAGGCAAGACATTTGGGTCGATTTTCACTTCCGACTGGCTTCAGTGTTTACGATCTTGCGCTGAAAACACAAGATGTTTATCATACAGCTTTGATAAGCAGGCCTTAGGTGAAAACTGTTTTTTACATGAATGTGGTTTTCTCGACGAATGCGCCGCTCTCGATACGCTCATCTTTGCCAGGGAGTCCGTTTTTCATCAGTTGCAGCCTGTAACGGTTTGTATTCATTTTAAAAATAAGGTAGAATCATCATTATATAATTATTCATTTTAGGATGATAAAAGTTGTCAAGTTCTACTCGACTATCTGCCTTTGTCACTATCAGTAAATTCTCTCTATCTCCCTTAAAAGATAATTTTATGCTAGGGTACAGGTTACGATATCTAGGTTGATTATGCTTATTTATTTTTGTTTATTTTAATTACCATTTTATGTAATTTAATTATTGATGTTCATTATTTTCCGACAGAATCAATCACAGCACAGGAATTGCCGTTGGGCAGATTATAGTAAGTATTAAGGAAAATTAAGACATTTCCGGTAAGACGAGTCTTGGTGTCTGTGTATATTAGATGGCAAACCAAGCCTTTAAATTGTAAAACTTATGAGTTGAAAATATTTACTCTACTCAACTGACTCAACCCTATGACAATATGTCGCTGTGACAAGGCCTAATGGCCTAGCGTCCATCGCATACTTGAAACGACGAGTTTGTCGGTGAACGTAGGATGAAATAAACTATATTAATGGGGAGTTGGAGAGTTATAGCCAAACTTCTATTGAAGATGAAGCAGATGTAAAACTAATATAGTCAGGAGTATAGTTTTAGATCAATTTTAGTATACTTGGTGCGAATTTTATTTTTATTTTTTGTTTTTTGGTGTGGTAAAGAATGATGATAAATTTCAAATGAGAAGGAAATCACAATATATACTTTCTTTGATCAATGATGAATCAAAATTGATGTAGAACTCGACATTAGAATTGGCCTTAATAGAATAGAAAATTATTTAAAATTTGTACCAATACCTTTTTATTTTACCCTACCAAGAGCCCTGTGTAATATTTTGCATAAAAGGAATGGTAGCTAAGAATAAGTCTAATCAGTGATCATCATCATCATTGTCATTATCATTGACAATGATCATTATCATGCTAACTTATGAAAGTGACAAGTATAACGTAACTTTAAATGATGCAATATCGTTAGTTTTTGCTTTTGTATTGTTATCATTATCAGTATTATTAGTTTTATCTATGTCAGAGCAACCTATTCCCGAAGCTGCATTTGAAATACAAGGTACCGATGTATGTAAAAGAAGTTGGGTTGATTATTTGGATGGATTCAGCCAAGGTAAGAAAAAAACCATGGTACCCTTTTTCAGTTGTACATGTTAATGACTTTAAGTTTTTTTTTCTTCTTTACAAACCTCTTCAAGGCCCTTCCTACATTCCGTTCTACGTATATGGGTCATGTAGCAGCTGCTCGGAAGAGAAGTCACCAATGGTGTGTTTTCCTAACCCTAAACAATACTTGGGTCACGTACATTGCCTAATTCCAAGGACTAAACATTTTTGCCACGCAGTCTATATTTATCGGATGGTCACGTGATGACTTTTGTAGGTCTTGATCACGTCGCTGAACTGAACTGACTGCAAGGGCCTAGGGAGAGCCGTACAGGAGCGAGGCAACGTATCATAGATAGTAGGAGATAGTATATTTTGCACCATAATACGAGAAGATGTCAGAATATCGAAAGGACTTATGAAATAATTTTGTACGTTTTCTTGTAACAGCTTTAGGACGAGAAAGACACTCAGCTGATGTTTGTGGAAACAAACCTGTTTTGCTGGATAAATGCTTACTTCAAGACAGAGGAAGAATCCATCTGACATCGGTGAAGTACATGGAATGCAACTGCTCGTGTATGGATTGTAGTGACGAAGGAACAGTGCGTTGTCGCTTGTCGAAAGTATATAAAATAATTAAAAAAGAATGCCATAGAAGCGAAGTATGTCGAGTGCGAATTGACAACGACTGTGAAAATGCAATCTTGAGATCCTTGAGAATTGAATACCAGTGTGTGTAGATTTCCGCCCCGTGAAGGCCTTTGCCGGTTCATAAGCTGATAAATTCTTTGGAAACATTTAGCGATGTAGTCACAAAGTTCAAGTTAAATATCAATCTAGATTTAAAATAATAGACGGTCGAAATTCTTCACTCTAGAAACTATAAGAAGGATAATTACACGCCTTCGGCGCAATGATTTCGGGGATCGTGTAGGTGGACAAGCATTACTTATGACGAGCTACAGCTGTTTCGGACAACTCACGACCTGTGTTATCAAAAATGTTTCAGGATTTTGCTTTTTGTGAGGGGTTTTCTCCTGATAGTCAGGAGTGGAGAATTATCAAACTTTCAAACTAGGCTCCGAGGGAGTAAAACCAAAGAAATGAATTATTAATCCCTGAATCTCAATGTGATTTCTTTTTTTGCACCCCTCAGCTTCTGAACCAGGTCTGAATTTTTAAATATTTCGAAAATGGCCTATAACCTTTACTCTATTTGGGGGAAAACGACACTTTTTTTAAAAAAAGGGGGAATTGGGAAAAGTTAAAGCACTATAGAGAGTCTTATTTCAACCAAGAAAATGTTAGCAGTGATAATAGAATTGGCTTTAAATCACGGATAAACCTTTTGATTATCTACAAGTTGTATCGCTATAATAACAATAATAATAAAATAATCTTTATAGAGAAAACTCCCTCACATAAAGTGGTTTTCTGGGAGGTCCTTTGACTAAGATTAAACAATATTAAAACTACTGATAACAATCAAATATAAAAAACTAGTGGTTATAAAGTTAAAAGGCTAGATGACTAAAAAAGGCAAAAAAATAATAAAAATAGAATCAGACTAAAAGATTTAACTATCGAAAAAACAAAGGCTAACGACTAAAAAGAGAAAATAATTTAGATGAGCTGGATAGCTTAAGCCTGATTTTAGGAAAAATAAAATCTTGAATAAAAGCAGAATGAAGTTTTATTTAGTTTGCTTCTTGAAGATTCTTTCCAGGTTAAGTGCGTACTTGTTTGGACGCCGCACTGAGTTCCGCTGGAATGAAAGGGTCCTTATGATTGGTCCATATGAGCTCATATGGGACCAAAAATCCGTGTATCTAAAAACCGTGTTACTGACGTACTAAGACCGCTGAGGCCAACATGACTAGATATTAACTGATATTTTGTATTTTTATGGAACACAAAACAAGAAATTAAAGAGGCAAATATCGAGCTATGTTGACACAAAAAGCTAAGGCAGCTCAATGAGCGATTTATCATATGGCCAAAAGTATTTTTATTTCTTGCAACTTAAGAAGGGAAATCCCGCGCGGGGAAGAGAGGCTAATCTTTCCTGCTTGGGTGGCCAATCCGAACACACACATTGCTTCATCCGATCTCCTCTTCGAATCCAGCCAAATGAAAAACTTTCTTTTTAAATCAGTCTGCTGGTTGAATGAGCAAGGCATCAACACCTATTAACTTTTGCAGGTGTTGAAAGATGTTTGAAGCACCAATCATAGGTCAGTCACCTGTCGTTGACACTTGACTAAAGTGATCTTTTCCACTTCCTATGAAATTTCCATGTGGAAATCACCACCTTCAAAAGAAAAACATCGCAGGATGAGGACATGTCTTGAAATTCTTTCACTTAAA